ATGCCACAAGAATGTACCGTCACGAACGTAACCGGCGCCTACTACTACTACTACTACTACTACTACTACTGCTACTACGACGACGACGACGACGACGACGACTACAACAACAATCAACACCGCGAGTGCAGACCTCCATGCGCTCCTCAGCTTGCTTCGTCACGTCCTCGGGCCCACATGCGCACAGCTAACAGCGGCGAAATTGAACATTTACCACTACGAGAATGACAAGAATTCCAACAGCCAGCGTTTATCATGTGCTTGTGACAAGGAAAAATCTAAGCGTTCTGCCATGATTGCTCAAATTGTTCCCACAAAGCCCACGCCTCCAAGAACTAAAGCAGGCGAGAGGCCATAGGCCCATGCTCGCCTTTCTGTATGAAGATAGTATGGGCTTCGTCATCATCCACATGGCCTTGTAACTTGCACCTCAGACAGCTGATGTAGCTGTAACGTGCATCATCTGCATCCTAGACCGCCAAACCATTCTTGCGTCAAATCTTCGAAGAATCATCACATGCCGCTCTGTTCGCAAACACCATTGTCGCAGTCAAGTGTCTCTTGTGTCAGCTTCCATATCGGATTGTCTCCCAGTCCCTGCACCCAATTTGCTCCTGACTGCCAACATAAGCACTTCATGTAAGCCTTTCGAAGCTCACAGCGAAAGAAGAAGAGAGGCAGTCAACACATAGTCAACACATCTAGCTCGACAAGTATATTGGATGTGATAGGGATTCAAGTACATGAAATTTATCCCGAATGCTTTCATATGACCCTGTTTCATCCCTGCAACACAGCACAAATGTGGCAGTTGATGGTCGGGTCCTTCCTCCACTCTGCGGCCACAGAAATCCCTGCTACGAAGGCGGCCTTCAGCAACATCAGTTTCCGTTGTCATAGATCTGCACATCCCTCTGAACTGGGATCCCACAAGACCCTCTGAAGGAAATCCTCGTGAGGGAGCCGCGATTTCAATTGACCACCAATCCGCCCCAAATGCCCCAAGCACTCTCTTGAAGCCAAGGGCAAGGCCCCCCAGCTTGGAGCAGGCTTCCAGCAGCACGCAGCGATGCGACGTCGCAAGGTGCTTCTGCCAGGATAGGCTACATGAGCTGTAGTCTATACAGGTTTTCTTTTAAGGGTTCAGGGGTGAAAGCTCCTTAAAGGCGGCTATATAGGTCAGTACATAGGGGACTATTCTCGGGCTTGTTAAGGGGGATACTGGGAGTTTGGACTATAGCTCACATGAGGCCATAATGAATGGCCATGGCTGACAATTGGCTCTTGTAATCTTTGTGAACCGACCTATTTAGCCTGTTCTGCCACAAAGCTGGTATGCACCATCCTAAAAAATCCCAACTTCTGAGAACAAAGTGTCCTTCTACAGTGACCATGACAAGAAAATCCCAAACTCCCAGGCGTGCCAGCGCAGTCAAACCAGCCAGTCCACCACCTGCCCGGGAGCAAATTCATCAAATGAAATCATTTAATCTTATATATTGAAATAATGATATAGTAACATAGTACGTAGTACATATATATGCATGTATATATACGTATAGAAATAAACCATAAACCCTGCATCGCCATCACGATCATCAAGGGCATTCGCGCTTGCGCATCGAGAGCCTATGATGCAAACATCGACCAAATTATCATCAACGAAGGAGGCGCCAGCCATGAAAGCATGCTACAGCAGTAGAGGCTAGGAGCATGGTATCCCCACATCATGTTTTAACTGCTTGCGCTTCTGCAATACGTTCACTCGTCAGGACTGCCAGCCTACGAAGTCTATAGCGCGGGTATGCCGCCGCTTCTACTTGTGTCTTATCCTGCTCTACGGTGTCCTATCGTGCCCTGTGAGCCAGGCTCCCTCCAAAGGAAGCACGGATAAACACAGGAAGGTGGATGTGGTGGTGGATCGAAACGTCAGCATAATAGCAGATAAACAGCAGCTCCATGGATGTTAGGCTGACTAGCCGCTTTCAATCGACGCTCATCTGTCAAGAAACGCAAACCAACCTGCCTCCCTGACTCCAAGAGGCGTAAGGCCCTGGCGCTCTGTCTTGGCGTAGGCCAGCAAGGAGGACCCTGTGACTTTCGTAAGGCTGTCTATCATTGAGCCTGCCCAGAAACTTCGAGACTATAGGCAGACGGCGTGACACCAGCTGGAAACCATGTGTCAAGCAAGCTGATGGCGCCTTGCACCTCCATTAGCCACTTCTCCACGTTTCCCTTCCTGGGCGTTGCGGACAGTACTTCAAAAAGCTGTGTTGGTCACCACTGAGGCATGAGCTTCTCTCCCTCCACTACATTGACAGGCTGCGCAAACTCCACGACCTCACCTTCCACGGACCTCGGCTACAACTGGTTCGCAAAACATCTTTGCTGCGCGGCAACGGAAGCAGCAGCTGCAAAGCTTTGAAGGCTTAGTTTCACACGACATCGCTTCGATGATCTCATTTGTGCTGTTGAAGCGGACTCTGCTAATACCTAGGCTGAGTCTGGCAGATGCAGCTGGCTCCCCTAATTGGTGTGTCTCCATCTTCTTTATGTTTAAGCTTCTCATTCAAGGGACCAAAAATCTGTAGACCGTTCTTCTCCCCCAGATTCTATTGCTTCAAACATCAAACACAGCTTGTCTTAAGAATGTCCATCTCGGACTTGGCCATCAGCCTTCGAAGCACTTTCCCATGTGCGGCTGCACCTCGAATCAATGGATGTTCGTTCAAAAGCTATGTTCTCTTAGCTTAAAAGCGGCCAGGAAAGAGCTATGACGGATAATCAAGGGTGGGAATCGCGGAGCAAAGTATGTAGCTCTGAGATCCACGCAGCGGTTGGGTCTTTTGTCTGTGACAAGATCATCAGCAGCTCTTCCTTCCAAAAGAAAGATCATGAGACCACACCACGGCCATTCTCGACAACAATATGTGGAAGTTTCCCTAAATTACTGTTCCCAAAATGGGGGAAATTTATATAGGGCCCTGTATTATAAAAGGAACCTCAATATAGGAGCCCGTATTGACAGTAATTTAGGACAATCCCCATGTGTACAACTACGCAGCCCGCGGTCGCTCGAGAGGAAGAAGAAGCGAGGAAATGCCACGCGCTTTGTATCCAGGTAGTCATTCAAACCTGCCACGAACTACTCACATCTTGTGATAGGATTGCCTCTAAGGCCGCGCATACTTCCGCCCAGCTACGACAGCAGTACAAAAATGAACTACCTCGAGCATGAGCCCAATCATGAAAGTGCTGGGCAAACCCGGGGCCTTTCTGGATAGCGTCTAGCTTCTTGTTGGCATCAATGAAGCTCGCGAGAAGATTCTCAATCTCTGAGACCTCACAAAAAAAATAGTGGATTCCAGGCACGAGCTGCCTGTTACGAGGGCTTACTTCCCTGCATCGAGGGCCACACATCCAAGACGTTGGGGTTTTCAGCCACAGACTCCATTGTAGTTCGCCAAAGCATGTTGACCTGCTCAGAGACTCTACAACGTCTGCCACCGCAGGAAACGCATCCAAGACCTGCTGGAATCTCTTTGCTTCATTGGGAAGCTGCTTCTGGATGTCGTCTGAGCTGAAGATGGGCCTGGAAAGGCACTAATGCAGACTTTGTTTATGGACGATAACCACTCCATTACACGTACAACCAGGATCCTGAAACTGCGAAAAATGCTGCGTTGAAACAAATGCTGAGATCGCTGGGTGCTGCGCTCAAGGTACAGCCATGAGCGCTGCATGGCTAGCCACTGCTCCAGCAAGTCTTGGATGTAGGTGAGCTTCAACAGCCAGTCCTTTCAGCCGAAACCGATGAAAGTCAAGGTTACCTGTCTCTGTTCCCGTCAGCGAGCCGTGCAACTGCACAGGACTTGTCCTTGACTTCCTTCTCTATCGGTTCCACCTTACAGGTTTGCTGCAAGTCTCTTGAGAACGGCTGCATATTGCAAGGAACTTCTGCTTGAACACCTAGAGCCAGGGCTACGTGAACATCCAAGCCATGCGAAGGCTCTCTACTCAATCAACCGTCATCAACTTGATACCCAACAAATCTCACATCAAATGAAGAGCTTTAAATTATCGTGGCTGCGTTGTTCCGCACTACACGCCTCCGCGCCTTGAACCTCTGATCTTACACTGGAACAGTAAGTCAATAAATGAACTCAACCAACTCAATCTTAAATCACTGAAACCTATCCGGCATCTGGATCTCCGCAGCTTCAAAACTTTCATATACGTGGCCATGTCGCAGTGGACTTGTCATCCCACACCGGACGTTTTGCATTCGGATGAGCTTGGCTAAACACCGTCATCCCGCTTCGACCCGCATGTGCCCTAGTACCAAGAAACCCCTTGTCGAACTCCTAGCATCCCCGTTAATAAGGCCTGTAATACTACCCTTCAAGGAATTTATGCCGCATGATTCTCAGTCCCATGAGCTCACCTTGCTCTGGGCTTCCGCATTTGTACAGTGTTCCCGTAGTTCTTCTACTGCTAGTTCTTCCACCACTCCTTCTCCTGCCACTGCTACCTCTGCTATCACCATGATGACGACGATGACGACGATGACGACCACGACAGGGGAGGCGGCTGCGGCTGCTGCTGCTGCTGCTGAGCGCCACGCGAATGGAGAGCCACGAATACCCATTGCTTTGACGATGTGGTCATCAAGTACCGCCTGAACTGCGTCGGACAAAGTTCAAATTACGCACAATGTTGCAGCCAAGAAGACTCTACAGCCAATGCCGTGAACTGCCTGAATCTCGTCGATCCCTCTGACCATATGCGTACCCGCTTTATGAGGGACGAGGCCGAACTCGATAGGACGCCACCTCGGGTTGTGCTGCTGAGTAAGCCACGCCAGTTGTTTGATGGTCGGGTCCTAATCTGTGTTCCCCGCAAACTCGACACCAAACATGTAAATATATATGCATATAATGTATACTCAGCAATATACAGTCAGAGAAAACCCATAGCAAAACCATGCCTCATATGACATGCACAAAATGTGGGATGCACGGGTCACATCCATCCAGACCCTCTGTTGGAACAACTCAGATACTGAGGAGCTGGCTCCTTCTTCATTGTAGCCAAGGCTGTCTTGAGGCCGTGCTCTTTCTGAGCCTCGCGACATTGGGTTTCCAGCATCAGGCTTTGAGTTTACCAGCCTGCTGGTAGCCTACCCTTTGCCTGGTGGTTTGCTAAAGGTAAGGTGCTTTGCAGCTCCTGTGGCTGACCTGCCTTGTGTCGATGCTTCTGAATTGAGAGTAGACCCAGGAAGCAGACAAAAGAGTTCAGTGGGCCCTGCAGCCTGCCTACATGCACACAGCCCATCCAAACTGATCACAAGAATGCCCTACGGGCCTTGACACTAATGCGCTCGAGGGTGTCGATGTGGTCTAGGATACCCACATCCAGCATCTGCTGCAGGGTAATACCATCCTGAAAGCAGGGAAACTTCTACATGATCGGCAGCAAACAAGCAAAGACTACAGAATGAACAACAACTGCATCCAGAAGTCACAGCGATAAAGACTATTTCATGAAGACATCCACAACTGCACGCGTCTCTTACCAGGAACAGAGCTGGTCAACGCAGAACTACAAACTGACAGGGCCTCCATGTCCATATCCATCTTGAGCTCCTCGAAGAGGTCCGAGAAATGCCGTGGTTCAAAGGCCTTTGCTCAGGCGCTCTTAGGAGGCACCCCAAGAACCCATTACCTTACGTCATTACCCTCACAAAGCTTATATAATCCTTCTGTACCCCCTATATGATTAGGTAATCCCCAGTAACCTACATTAAAATGGGTTCTGATGAAGGCATTAAGAGTCCCTCCTAGCGCCCCCAGCAAGCATTTGTAGGTGTTGCTAGCACCGACTGAGCGGGTGGCCTCTTGACACAAAGCCCGAATGACAGGCCTGGTGGCAGTCTCATCCAAGCTTGAGATCTGAGATCTGGAGATGGAAGTTTCTCAAGATTGGAAAGAGGATTTTTCACCTTTCGGCCTTCTTTCTGTAGGCGATATGTCGAAAAAACATCCAGATGTGTTATGCAGCAAGCACTGTGCTAACAGTCACATGCTTGAAGTTACTAGGCAGCCCAGCATGTTGGCGCGGAAGTTCGAGATCTCTTCTCGGAGATCCTGAAAGCATGGAAGGGTTTCGAAGCAACTGCGGCCAGCATCAAAGAATTTTTATAAGGTTGTTATAGGGTTTTGATATCATTGGGGTTATATAGGGTTTATACATTATATTGGGGGTTATCTAGGGATAATGGAAATTGGAAACTACCATAATGGGGTTTAGGGTTTGACCCAATGTATTATAGTAGTTTCCATGTTCTTTTCCATTATACCTATACAACCCCAATATACATGAACAGGTCTCCAAGCCTTTGCCACAGCCAGCGGATTGTCATTGCCTTCAAACTGCTTCATGGTTTTGTAGCTTTCTTTGTACCTGACAATAGCTTCTGGATAAGCGCAGAAGCCTAGCTACCAGCAAGCAGAGCTCTCTGTTTGGCAAAAGCTGGGCTGGGCTTCCCGGCTGTTCTTCCACGACTGCTTCAATTTCTTCGGCAACCAGGCGCTGGACCATGCCCGTAAGCCACTCCTCCTGGGGTGGGGGCATGCGAAGCAAGAAAACCAGAAGAGCGAGAGCCTCCTCACGTCACCCCACAACTCCAACTCTTAAACAAATTTGGTGGTAGCTGGGTAGCTGGCCTCAGAATGCTTGAAGTCAATCGCGCTGGTCCAGAGCTTGTAGTACGGCTCGAAAGCCTGGAACCATGGAGTCAAGGCGAAGGCTGCTCCGGGCTTCCAAAAGCAACTGCAAGCGACAAGCTCTGGTTGCATGATGGGGCCCCGTTCGGGTGGGACCCTGGCAGTCCTCGCTCATGACCTCCACTGCAGAGTAATCAGACACGTCCATGCCTTGGCCGAGCACATGAGCCGCCCGCGGCCCCCGTCAACGATTGAACACAAGACCCGTCAGTGAGCGCAGACACCGTACCACGGCCAAGCGAAGCTGCGAGTAAGCAGTCAAAGCATACTTTGGTGTCAAAGCCTGCCCCAGAAAGATCAAAGGATTGGGTCCGGGCCGAACAGCCGCTCCCTGTCCACGAAACTCTGGACCCGCTCTTTGGCCCGGTCCAGGTTTTCCTGCAGCCCAAAGATGAGAAGGACACGGCTGGACTCATTCCAACTTGCACTAACGAAGCTTTGAAGAGATCGGTGTCTGAGCCCTCCACAAATGACATGAACCAAGAAACAACCAGAAACAAACAAAACTGGCGAGCACCAGGCCCGCAAGGAGTAGATGCGGTGAGCACACTTCATGGCCAAGGAGTAATCGTTCCTTGGTAGACATCCAGCTTGGCCAACCCACTCTCCCTCGGTGCGGTTCATTGCAGACTTGCAGCCCAGCAGCAAGCTCCGAACCCATTCCAGATCCTCCTGGTAGCGGGCCATGTCCCGCTCGTACCTTCATCATAGCTACAGACTAGCCTCATGTGTAAAGCTTCAACCATCATGCGTGGCGAAGTAGAACTGCAGAAACGGTAAGAACAACACTTTTGATCCATTGATAGCATTCGAGTTGCTCTGTCTTCTCTTGGTCCAGCTTTTCCATGAACTTCTGCTTCTGCGAGTCCAAGCTGCGCTCCTGCAAATCAAGGCGCTTTAAGCAGCTCCAAATTTCTGTGCAGCCAAGATTACAGTCTGAGCATCCAGGCCATGAAGCTAAAAGAGATTCACACACCACAACCAGAAACGGAGAGCTCAGAACCGTTCACTGCTCAGCTGCCGACAGAGTCGCCGACATCAATCTGGATTTGAAGCGGCCAGGCAAAGGAGGAGAAGGCACGCTCCACAACCTGTGCTTGAAACGTACATCGACACAGACTACTGGTATGCGCACGGCTCCCATCGCCTGCAAGCTAGAGAACTTTGACGCAAGATGTTTCATCACCTTACCTTGCCGCTAACACTTCTTGACCTAAACCTAATTGAGCACTTGGGATCGATGACCAGTTTCTCCAGTTACGGGGATCGATGTATCAATATCTATGTTTCCGAGAAGTCGAATGTGCCCTACCTTGCTTACGACGTGCGTTCAAACGTGAATTTCCGGTTCCTGTTGCGTTCATCGTCATTCTTGCTAGAATACAGACAGCTGTCTTTATTGATGCCAAGACTTGTCATATACAGCCCCAGCATAATTCTGCATTTCTGTTGGCTTTTGAGATCCCGACAAGCTCCCAAACCCAGTTTGGTATCTTTGAGAATCTAAACCCTGCGTTGCGAGTACCAACAAAAAGGGAGTATCACGGTCCTTTGTGAGGATTCTATCCAAAAAGGCTAGGCCCCACGTGGTGCCTCATTGTCGATCTGAAAGCTGAAGTCCCCAAGCCTTGGCTGTAGTCATTTAGGGGTTTCCCAAAATTAGGGGTACCTTTTGGGGGGTCCCATAATGGGTATACAGTATTTGGTGTCTACATCGGGGTTCCTCTTAATTTGGGAATCTACCATTTGACACTTTAGCAAACACGGTTTGGATCGCAAAGAAATCAAGGTTTAGGGCCTAGGCCTGTTTGAGGTGGTAGGGCTGCAGTGTTCATGCTTCAGGTTTAGGGTCTGCCGCTGAGAGCTTGGAGTTGTGGCTTAGGTTTATATTTACTGCCCGGAGGAAAAACTTAGAAACGTTGCCCAGATTGTGGTGCTGCGAACATCAGTACATTCAATAGCCTCAACATACTGCAAGGCATTGTCACTACACTTCGCAATTTTACATACCCTACCCTGCCTGGCACTACACAGCTTATTCGTATCTGGTAGCTTCCGCGATTGACATTACATGTACATTGTGGACTCCATTCTTTGCTGTTAGACTAAGCACTGACGTCGAATCCACCCTAAAAGAGTCCGTACGTGAAGGTTGAAAGTACGCAACCTGGCTTCAAAAGTTGAACTTCACCGTTGTTGCATGCCGCTGCCACCCCGTTGCATGTGCGCTTCGGCCAATCCTCTGGGAACCCCTAAGACAGGCCTGTCACGAATACTCGTGCACCTGCTGCCGTCCGAGCCACATGTTGATCTGGGTGTGGATGTGTCGCGTGGTCTGCATCAATGGCCTTCAAGGCTGCAAGTAATGGCTTTTGTGTCAGCGACAGTCGTCTGAACCCACAGTGGATGGCTGACAGAAGGGCGCTGACTTTGTCTTGAGCTGCGGCAAGTCGCTCATGAATTGCTTCAGTTTTGCCAGCTCCTGCATGCGTGGCTTCCAGCTTTGACACTGTGTCTGTAAAGACGAACATACATGCGATACGCAACACTTCCATTCGCAACGCACTTCTGGTCCCATCTCCTCCTCGTCTTCGGGATTGGACAGAATGCGTTCATGAGTTTCGTGCCTCAAAGGGCTTCTACCAGGGGCAACGCACAACTTCTGCCAGAGATTGTGACGTACGAGCAGAAATGCCAAACGGCATTCTCGCAAGACTCGCGGGCCTCGATGACCCTGGTACTCTAAGCATCTCTTAGCCAGCTGCCACTCTGTGAGCACTGCTTGCGAGCGTTCCTAGCCAGGACGACGATCCCAACACAACTACTTCTGACATGCACAGCTGCGGTCCTGGATGTTCTGTGCCACGGTCTGCAGGCAACAACCAGCGAGGTGGTACGCCCTCTGAGACATCTGTTGGATGATGTCCTTCGCAAACTACGCTTTTTGAGGCAAGTCAAGGTAGTCGAGACACTGACAGCCCACCGCTGGCCACTCTCACACAAGCGCTTTAGTCGCAACATCGACACCCTGCAAAAAGCCACAAGTCTTGCAGGTACTCTGAACAGCAAAGCGCTCCATGCAGTGCAGCTCGAACAAAGGAAACCTTTCGGGGAACGTTCGCGTTGTGGGGGACAGCAAACAGTGTTGGGAAAAGAAGGTAGCTGATCCTGTACAGACTTCACAAGCCCAAGGGTCGTACATCACGGAGGAAAACTGGCGACCACATACACCACAAAGATCCTCTCAAAAGCACAAGTCTAAGAGCACCACTTCACCACCTCCGTCATCAGCTTTTCAATCTCGGTTCCTGCCTTAAACAAGGATCAAAGCTGGAAAGAAGCAGCACACGCCCTCCTCTGTCTTGGCACGCGGCTTGCAAGTACGCGTCGGTTTTGACCTCAGCAAAGCATGGAAGGAAATGACAGCTGAGCACTTGGCTGGAACATCCAATTATAAGGTGCTGAAGAAGGTCAAAACCAAGGCCCACACACGAACAGCTTCAACGTCCAAGGGGTCTAGGTCAGCTCCTACCTTCGAGGACTAACTCTGCCCATCCTGCCTGTAACTCCAATGGTAGGAGCGCCTCTTCTCGGAAGAGGTAGGCGTACTGTTGGTAGCTTGCCTCACGTGGCTCTTGCATGTAACGAAAGTTGGCAAAGCAACGCATTCCATGACCTGGACTTCGCGCGGTCCATGGAGGCACTCTTCGATGACCTCCGCAGTGGCAGCCTGTCCCGGCTGATGAGCAGCAGCTTCCGCAGATGCTCACAACAAGGAAAGCAAAGCAACAAGCTGAAGCTGTGAAGTTTCTCCACTCCAAGCAACCTAAAGGTGGGTTGGACCCCGTTCCAAAGAACACTCCTCCAGAGTCCTGGCTCCTTGTCGGGAGTCCCGATCGCAAAGAATTAGTTGTGCGAGCAACAGGGAACTCCCAACGTCAACTGTCACATCCAAAAGGCCTTCGCTGCTCGAAGCAACTGAGCTTCGTCTGCTGGCCCGCTCCTGGGTAAAACGCGGCTTCGCGAAAAAAGTGGATCCCTTTGAGATCCGTACCCTCGAGAAAAATACTTCTGCATGTTCGGGGTGTAGAGCGACAATGATCTTGGGGAAGTGCCCAAATTTCAACCAGTTCCTTGCTACAGCTTACTCCTCAGGTTTCTTGGGGCCCGTCATTTCCTTCAGGAAACTTGCTCTGACGCCGCTGCTGCCGCCGTCGGCTGACTGCTGCTTTTTGCTCTGCTGGTGCTGCAGGTACTCCAATGCCATTGCTCCTGCTATTACCATTGCTGTGCTGTGCTGCTGCTCTGCTGCTGCTGCCGCCGCCGCCGCCGCCACCGCCGCCATTGCTATGTCATGGCTACTGCTACTTCTATGCTATTTCCACTGATGCGTACTGGCTGCTAGTGCCCAGACGGACTTCAAGACCCTCCGACTGTTTGAACTCAGGCAAAGGCGAGGAAGGTGCCTCCTCGACCTGCAGATTGGAGGGAAATTTCAAATTTTGTTTTTTTTTCTACCAACACCCTGCTGCACTCATTTCTTGCATCCCGTGCCCATTTCTGCTTAGCATTCCAGGTCTAGCTCCGTCATGCCCCGCAGCTTGCCAGTTGTCACCCCTAGGGTTGGTGTGAAGAGGACCAGTATGTAACGCAGTGAGGAGCCGCTTTGTGCAAGTCAAGGTGGTGCCTTTTGTCATCTTAAGGCATTTGAAAGCCTCATTGAGTGTGACAAGCATCTGCTCGCCCTAGCATTCGTCAGGAGAATTCAAGCCCTCAGAAAACCCTGAAGCGTTACTTAACACCCCAAACCCTCATGCCGCTCTGTAACAGTGTAGCATCATATCTGGAGCTGCGCCTCAGTGGCCTTCCGCGCTTCCTCTTCACGCCGATGGTCGGCCTGGAGCCTTGGACAAAAGACTCGATTCATAGAGTCGTACAGAGAGAAAGATAATAGCCAAAACCAAGATAGAGACGATACTAGTAATTAATACCAAGTAACATACCATAACAAGAATTGCAACGTGGAGACATGCGCATACATATTTACGTAAGTATATACACTGTGTGACTGTGTGTTACCTTCGTGGCAATCAGATTGCTACATCTTTTCCCTGAATGGCAGCCATGATGATATCAGTGGTGTTTACACTAATGCACGTTTACTGAAGGGGTCACGAGGGTGCAGAGTATGGACTTAGTTCAGCACGCGTGGAAAGGTCTGACAACATGGGATCCCCTGACTGTTTCCTCCATGCTCAGCTGTTGGTCCCTGAAAACCCCCAGAAATGGGCCCATTATTCTGAGAAACCCCGCTTCAGAAGGTCCATGACCTTGCTGCAGAATAACACAAGATTCTCGGACGCTTGGGCCGCAACTCGAACATCAGGTGTTGGGGCAGGTTGCAGAAGGGCACCAACTGGCCAGCACAAAGATGCTACAATGGGTGGGGATATTACATATCAGTCGGTGAGAAAACGGATCTCCCCATGTAGACGCTGCATCAAGAAAAAACATATACATATCATTGGGGAATTACCCATCACCGGATGCAAATCCACAAGGAGACGCTCTGTTTTGAAGAGCGAATGCCGCTTATGTGGCAGACGCCAATGTTTGCCGTACGTTTCATTTGCGTTTTGGCTGGCCACCCTACAGCAGCAAATCCCCAGCAAGACGCTGTGTTTTGAAGAGCTGGAAAGAATGCGCAGACATGTCGTTTACTAGGGGATTTTGCATCAGGAGCTCGAGGGAAATCCCGCCTGTAGTAGGGGATGTTACAACAGGAGCGAAATACTGACTTCACTATGAGCTTTTAATTACAACAGGAGTCCAAGGAAAAACATGTAGACGCTGTCACACTCGAGGTCTCCTTAAAGCATATCATCACTGCCAGCTTGGCGACCGCTCCTTGGAGAATTTCAACAAAAAAAATACTGAAAGAGACAAACGCCCCGGAGCTTGCACGAAGCTACAGTAGATGTTCGCTTTGAATTCCGTCTAGGTGGAAATACTATTCCTGAGGAGCCCCAGGCCAACAAAGAGATAGGAAAGTCATTTGAATTGTCCATCCACAACTCTAGAGCGGCAAGCCCCGTTACCGCACACAAGAGGACCCACCTCATACTCTATGCTCATGATTGACGACGTTACCTGCAGGACATGTGGGCACCATGCGCGGTCAGTCTCCTTTGGCAGTGTGAAACACTGTGCAATTACCGTGCAAATGATTAGGCCTTCGTCACATCATCAATCAACTCAAGAATCTTCATCTTGAGGTCGTCCGGATGTGGCGCAATCTGTACCTCTCATGCGCCCGACACTATCACTCTTCCTGCAATCACTAATGCTCCAACATCTGCCGCTCTGCAAAGCAGTCGCAAGCACCAGCCTCGCCATGGACAGCCTCAAGGCTAAGTGTCAGCAGCGGAGTCCTTGGGAACAGGGAAATTTGAGAAGCAAGACAGTCGCATGGTGGTGAGCGCCCCGACGGAAGCGGCTCGTTGATCTTTGGCGTGAAGGAGCTGACAAACTCCACCTCTCTCTGAAGAAGCTAACAGCTGCCAAGGAAGGGTCTGGGAGGTTCCTTTAGAAAAAGATACAAAAAGACATATCTCAGGGCTGTCGGGGACATCCAAGAAACCAACAAACAATAATCAATTCCTTTTGTCTCGGCCATGAACCCTTACTGGCGACAGTCCGAAGATTCGCATCCTGCAAAAGACTCCTGACCAGGGGATTGCCTGAACTCAATTTTGCTGATGAGTAATCGCCACTCTGACTGAGCTAGGAGTAGCTCTTGAATTGACGTGCGATTGCAAAACCCCACATCTAGCAGCATACCCACGGCACGGCAGTCATCGCCAAGTTTTGCCAAGCAGCTGCAAAAAATGCAATTCAGATATTCCATGTAAGAAATCCTGTTGTTCTGCCAACATTTTGAGAAAGAAGAACATCAAAGTATCGTCTAGCATAGCAGTATCATTTGGATCTTTCAATCACTACATTCACCAGTGGCGCATGTGAATCTGCACGCAACCGCAACTCTGAGGCTGCGGCCCAGTCGGTCAAAGACATCTGGACAAACCAGCGCATTTGCGCGGAGAGTATCAAGTCAAACCTTGGTTGGAAAACTAGATGCCTCTCTGTCACAGCGAAAAGCTTTGAACAACAAATGCATCATTGCAACAATCCTGCCTGACTTTCATGTTGAAAGCCCAGACTAGCCCCAAATCCAACACATGCATTGGAATCCATCTGAACAATATTGCAAACACGTTTTGCTGTGGACTCGGAAGGAGGAACTGACAGCTGATCTGCTACAGCCCAAGCTACAAGATCAAGACGCAACAAAACATTCCTCTCCCTCCCATCACCCCCTTCTGTACTTGATTTACAGATTTATTTACAGGTTTGAAGACCAGTGGTGTGCACATCTTGGCCCAGCTATGACACAAGCAAAGACCCGC